CTGTATCAGGCCGACCGTAGTCTCCAGAGAGACACCGTTGCTCTTGAGTACTTTAGAGAGGTCCCTAACCGCAGACTTTCCCATCGCAATATGTTTTTTTTATTTCCTGGCTGCTGGTGCCAAGAGTGTTGACCGTGAATGGCAACTTGTAATTTGTAAAACTGCCACCTGTCCTCTATTGAAGGCAATCGTCATCATTCTGCCCTCAGGTAGGATAACAGTTTATGAAGAGTAGCCCAACATGCTACAGATGGCCAGGCAAGTTGAGTTATTTGAGAAAAGTATGTTTCAGTCAAATTCAAAGTTCTGTATTTTAAAAAATAATGCACACTATATGTAGTTTATGCTTTTCTTGAGGACTCAAAGTCATTAATATTAAACCCTAGGAGGTGTCAAAGTATTAGAAGATATAGTATGCCAGTCTGCCTCTGTATTGATTTGTGAATTACTGTTTTATAAATAAATAACTGGTCACTTGCTACATTCATATAGCTGAGATAAATAATATGCAGTTATATGCTCTTCTAGACTATCTTACGCTCTTTCTGAAAAATAAATTACTGGAGCAAGCCTCAAGAAACTTTCCAGTATTTTTTAGAGTTAAATAAATTACTTGTCTCCATTCTCTTAATTATTGCATTCTTAGTCACACACTTCTTAGTGCCTTCAATGCAACTTCTTATTTTAATAAGTCCCATTTTCATTTTATTATAAGCATTAACTTACTGTAAGGGATTCATTTGAGCTTCACAGAAAAATCCTGCCATCTTGTGGTCTTTTAGGTGATGATTACTGCAGACTTATTAATCAAGTTGTATTTTCACAACAGCAGACATAAATCTTTATTCATATACTTTGAGTTCCTTATGGTTTTAGAGTCTCTTACAAAACTTATGTGTGGTCAAGTCCCTTGTGACTCGTAGTAACTCTGTGGACAACAGCTCTGAATCCTGCTCAATCTTGAGCCAACCTCATTGACGCTAACACACCTACCCTCATTACCCCAGTCACTGAGTCAGTCCATCTCGTCCTCTCTCGCCCTGTCTTTCCAACCTTCCAAACATGATTCCCTCTCTAAGCACTGGTCCTTCCTGGCAACATGTCCAAATTAAGTCAGACAAAGTTTCAGAATTCTTGCCTCCAAGGAGCAGCCTGGTTGCACAAAATTATTAAGCTTCATAATATTAATTATTTGAACTTTTGCTTTATGCTTCCAAACTTAATTCCCGTTTGAAGGTGACCTAATTTTGTTTCAGATTTTTGTGGTTCTGTTTCTTAATTTCCAGGAAAAGTAGCAGTTTTTGCTTGTGAAAAACAGTGATCCATGTTCTATACATATGCACTCATTAAAAGGAAACATCCAAATGCATTTACTTGAAACATAATAAACTGTCACCTGATAAAGACAATATCTTATAACATTGTGAAAGATGTCAGCTAGTTTTCAGGTATATACGAATTTGTCTAAGAGGTCTAAATTAAAGCATTAGTACACTAGAATAAATGCAAAGAAAACTAATCAGTGCTTTCATGGAACTAAGGAATTGAATCCAAGTGATCATTTAAGGAATAGACACAACAAACCTTCAATGGTTAAAGACAGAGACTTCCTTCTCCAGGGAAGCCAGCACCCACCCCATCCACGCTAACAGCAAGACATGTGCAGGATCTGGTTTCTAAGAAATGTTCTCACTTCAAACAAAAATGCTAATGGCAGATCCCACAAAACCTTTGCATTCACAGGGATTCAACCTAGCGGGTATCTCCTCACCAGGTGATCCGAGCATCCTGATGATACGGAACACCTAGCAGGTTGGCCTTACTCCTAAGGCAGA